AGCCTAGTACCTGCTTCGAACGTCGTCCGTAACTCATTCTCCATCGTTGGTGACAGTATGGTACTGCATATGGTTGCACTTGCTCGACGTTCATAAAATTACTTCTGCATAGTATGCCGAATGTGTTCCACTAAGCACATGATCGGTAATGAACGGGCATATCTCAACATTGAGTTCAAAGATTCTGCGTTGTTGTTGGTCAAAATGTTGTACTGTTGGCTAACAAATAGTGCCTGTAACCAAAATGGGAAACTTGCTCGCTCCAAGTACCCGTACGCTCTTGCACTTACCCTACGAAGCTGTCCTATAAGTCTTTCAAACTCTTCGGTCCGGTAAGTTCTTGCGGCTCTTTTGAATAGAAATATTGAACTTGCGTTATTGTACTGCTGGATTAAATTCTTTTTCATATGCCAGACACAGCACCTGTGGTGAGCTCGAGGAAATAGGTGGGCAATGGCATTTTCAATACTATTTTTCCTGTCGAAAACAAACACCAATTCATCCGAATCACCTATAAGATCTTTCAAATTTGATAAAAATCACATCCACAATCTATTCGTTTCGGTATCAATGATCCCCACGCTAAAGGATAAATCTGTTTGTTAGCGTCTTGGGCAGTTGTCAGTAGAAGGGTACCTTTGTATGAACCTTTCAAGTGACTGTCGTCAACATAAATAACAGGCCTCAGGTAGTGCAGGTAACCCCGAATGCTTGCATCGAAAGCTAGGAAAAGGTAGTGAAACCTGTTACAAGAATCTACTTCGATGTGTGTTACTGTCCTCGGGTTACTCTCTCCTAGGACATGACAATAAGAAGAAAGTTTTTGAAAGTTATCACCCGGTATACCATGTAGCATATGTAAAGCAGCGACCTTTCCCCTACGTGCTTGATGGTAACTAATTTTCACACGAAACTCACGTTCCATGTCACGTGCAATAGCTGTAGGATCATATGATCCTTACGTGTTATCCAATTTCCCCATAATCTGCTCGGCAATTATGGAACTAGTGACATGT